AACCAAACCACTCAAGTGGCATATCCACATAAAATTCTCCATGCCAGGAGTTTGCTAGTTTAGGCCTCATATGCAGACAACGAAATATTTTTCCATGCATTTTTCTAAGGGACCTCCTGACCATCCCTCTCGAGGGCATTAATCTTTGCACGTCAAAAATCTTCCTCTACAATGGGTGTATTTGCTATCTAACACAGCTACAGCATCTTTGAGCTCACTGAAAAAATTATTGACCTGCCGTATACCGCAGCCACTCCCAGTGCTTTTCAGAAGATCATGTTTACGGCGTTGAAGGGGTTGTCAAAGGCTTTCAGAAAATTGCAAACAACCAGCCATCTTGAATTTTACCCGCTACGTGTTGCACACCTCTAATGCAACATTGACAGGGTGGTCTGGCCCCACTGTGTCAATCCCACAGTCAAGCCGCTTTTCTGGAGATAAAATGTTTACCACAGACCAGGCTGTGATCCAAAATTTTTTCTGCGCACTCTTTCCTACAGATTGCAGAAATCCATTTGTTTAACCTCTCCTTGGGAAGTTTCCATACTTCTTCTCCTTGACTAGTAAATATTGAAGGTATTCTTACCATATCATTCCTCTACCACTGCCACTTCTGGCAATTAAAATGAGATTACAAAACTGAAAACGATCTATAGGCCACGTACAGCATATACATTTCCTATTTTTAAACATATGATCATAGGTTTACTGACATAGTAAGCTATACATGTCTATTACAATTCTTAAAGTACCATAAGTATTTCCTCATCCATCTTAAGAGTGCCAACATGTTAATGAACAATTTATGCTTGTTTCATTTTACATGTATACCTTATGTTATCAATTATGGTACCTGAGTATTTATAATATGAGCTGGAGTGCATTCAGCAGAGAGCACTGATCTTCATATGCCCACACGTGGAATATCAGGAGGCCTAAGCCTGCCCACAATCACTCAACAGCATGAAAATATTTGTGAGTGCACTTTTATATTATTACTAACCATACACTAATTAAGGAAACCTTTACCTCCCATTTTAAGCATATGCTATGATTTAAGACATGCATGCACTTTTGTGACCTTGCACTATTATCTAGTTATAGATTACATTGTATAAATTAGATGTATTCATATTGATATTTCATTGAACTCTTGTAATGTTTTTCCACCGATGTTGACACAACAGGAACTGCTGTGGATTGCTGTAAAGCAATTGACAGTTATCTCAATAACAGAAAGATAGCTAAACAGGCATGCACTAATTAGTATATAATAAAACTGCTGTTTGTTTTGCTTCAAAACTTTTATAGTTAACTTTTTAGTTAGTTTGATTTCCTACTGTCAAATAAGCTAGGTTATAATGTGAATAAAGTATTTGGATTGTTGCCAGACTTGAAATTTGTGCGTGTGTTTTGAAAGATCTTCACATTATTGACAGATGCTTGCAAAATATGATAATAACCATAGTCTGTTGAAGCATTTTTGGTTTTCAGATGAATATTTGTCTTTGACATGGCTAATTCCAATAACTTGACATACTCCGCACACAAACAAATCATCTTTGAGCAATGTGAAATGAAACTGTTTACGTTCAGATACACAAACACTGATCAGAGCGCTAACCCAGAGGTTAAGTGTTTCCTATTTTAAAAAGCTTGAACTGCTAGAAATTCTTGACCTTAATTCTCACGCCATTTTTTTCCATTTCTAATACTCATGTAATATAGTAGTTAACAATTATTTTTCTCTAATTCTTATTCTTACTTTATATCTTTTGAATAACTTTTATTTTTTATTTTATTTTTCTAACACAATATAAAATGATTTTTCACTTTTATGATTAACCTTTGTTTCGTCACAGCTACATATCTAGTGAAGAGTCGATAGATTTTCATCAACCTTGTTATACCCTGAAGCAAAAGTAAGAAATGTTTACTTTTGTGATCTCCTCAGGTGAAAAACTTGTGTAAAGTGAATAAGCAAAAGCAAAGGTAAAACTTTTAAGTTTCTCTCTATGTTAATAAACTTTGGGGAGAGCAGAAAATGTTTTTTCATGCACTCACAGACACTTAAGAAATTGGTTGTTGGTTATTGTGCAAATATCATAGTATCCTAACAATAGTCTGATCACACAAGCATTGTGATGCCCTGTGTATTTTATTGCTTTAATCAAGAATCTCCTGTCAATTACAAAGCCAAGAGCAAACTAAGGTCAAGTCCAATTTTGGAAACTAGTAAGAACAAACTGTCCACAGTCCAACAAAAACTGCAAAGCAGCATAGAACAAAAATATATTATTCTATGATGATGTACTATTGCACATTTCAAATAACCCCTTATTTTTTAAAATACTTCGCTCGATTGGCAAGCATTGTCATCAGCTATGGATAGTGATGAGGATCTTCACAAGTTTATGAAGGTATTTCTCTTAATATACTAATATAATCATGCATAGCCGTGGTCTCCACATATCAAGAAATGGGCAAGGAAAATGTATCT